TGGAGAAAGAGTCACCTAGTCAGCGAATGCGTGTATTTATTGCACCCAAGGTGCTATGTTACTTAAAGACTCTCATATACCTATCTTACATGATATATGCAGTCACTATGTCCACTTTCCAAGCCAACTACTTGTACATAGCTCTTAGCTATTATATACTTGTATATATAAAACTATTTGTTCCGGCCGCGTCGAAAAAGGCGTTTGGCGAAAAACGCATTTACACTTTTATACTTTCTTCGAGAACGCCAACCGTGATTCCGATTGAGATTTATCCCTACTTTGAAAACTTTTCTACCGTCAAAGTAGTTTTAAAACCAATTCTTAAGACACTCAGGTAAAAATAATGAGGTTTAAAAAATTGTTTATAATTCCATTTAAAAAATATGCAGACATTTTTTGACAGTTGAAACAGTTCACTTTGGATGAAGTTAACTTTAACAAAAATATTTTATCTCTCCAAACTTTTAAATAGATACAATCCAATGGATTTATTTTTAATATTATATTTTAGCCACTCATCGTTGGTAAAATATGGAGGAAGCTCATATCATCGTCAGTACATGCTTAAATATTTAAAAATCTTTTCATTACAATTGATTGCGGTTTTTCAAGATACAATGTCAAACTTAAACGAAAATGCGAATGAAGTCACTGAAGTCAGGATTTCAATGCATTTTGAATTCTAAGCTAAAGCGAACTTGGTCTTACAGGTTTTTCTCGGATGTTTGATTATGCTTTTTACTGCATTTTAACTTTTAGGCTCACAGTTCTTGACTGACTTTCATAGCAGCTCTAAATCGAATAGGAGATCACATATTCTAAGATTATGTGAAAATATTTGTATTACATTGAATTTTTAGAGTTGTGAGATTACAAAAATTCAGATTTCCCAACGATTATTTCTTATTGAACTAAGAACTTTCCTAAGATCACAAAATTCAAATACTTCCCATCTAAAATCGACCTATGTAGAATTATATATTCGAAGAGTGCCTAAAATTTGTTCTCTATAAATTTGACCGCTCTCAGTCTAGAAAATTAAAACTCAAAAGTGGCTGCCACATGTTTTTATTTAAACAAAAATTTTTATAGAAAATATAAAAGCTCATAATAAATAAAAAAATATTTAAATAATCTAATATAAACGTATGTAAACTGAAAACTTTTTGGAGTTGCCACATAAATTATTTTATATATATTTTTAAAAACAAGAATAAAACAAATATTGCAACCACTTGTAATGAAATGTGTGTAACGAATGATTGCAACGTTTTCGAAGTGTTGGCTTTAAAGTTGGAACAAAGCTGCCACACAATTACTCAATAAAGATATAAATATTCAAAAGTATGTCAAATAATAGCAAAGTGAGTGAGAAAAGGAATTATGTTAAACAAATATTCCACACAAAATTTGAAAATACAAAATTTATATACATATCTATTAGCTCAATATTTTCGATAATTATCGATACGTATTAGAATGTTTACATAATAATTAATGTTAATTAATATTATATTAAAGATTTTCAAAAATAATCGATTGCAATTAGATTAAGATTTTTCCACAATATACCAAACTTAATCGATGTACGAGTTTAAGGTTTTTCGATCATAAGCGACATATTTTAATTTAAGGTTTTTCAATAAAATTCGATATCCATTAGTTTAAGATCTTTTGCTAATAATCGATATGCCGAAAGAATTTTTTTTTAATTATTTGAACTTTGATATATGCAGCTCTCATGTCATCTTGCAATTTTTAAATCTGGCTATGTTTTACTTAATAATCTGTTCAAGTCATATGTTGGAAGGATATGTTAACTACTCTGCGCCAAAAACTTTTTTCACTGATTTAATATTCCAAATTTATTTTGAAAGCTTTGAATTTTTGAATTTTAAATGTTGCCACATGTTCATATTTTTAATAAAATTTTTTATTATTTTTTTTTAATTCGCATGCGGACTTAACTCCCTATCAATTCGAGTCTTTATACCCTGAACAGGTTATATTAAGTTTGCCACGAAGTTTGTAACACCCAGAAGGAAACGTCGGAGACCCTATAAAATATTATATATACATAAATGATCAGCATGATTAGCTGAGTTGATTTAGCCTTGTCCCCCTATTTGTCCGTATGTCTGTCTGTATATACGTGAACTAGTTCCTCAGTTTTTAAGCTATCGATCTGAAATTTTGCACATATTTTTTCCTCACAAAGGAGCTGCTCATTTGTCGGAACGGCCGATATCGGACCAGTATAGCATATAGCTGCCATACAAACTGAATAATCGGAATCAAGTACTTGCATGGAAAAACTTTTTATTTGACGAGCTATCCTCACGAAATCAAATCGGAATCAAGTTCTTGTAAGGAACCTTTGTATTTGTGAAGGGTATTATAGCTTCGGTGCAACCGAAGTAAACGTTTTTCTTGTTTTATTTTAATTCTGCTATTTACTAGATACAATATATGTACAATATTTTAGTGTACATATATATTTACAAAACAAATTACTGACGCACATATGATTCCACTGTAAATTCTCGCTTTGTTGTTAAGCAAATATTGAACAGTTACACACTCCATTTACATAACATATATGTATATATAAACATGCGTGCAACAAGGCAAAAATAAACAAATGCATGCAACAATACCGTCAGAAACAAAATAAACATTTGCAACAACAACTACAATAAAAGCAGCAATTATAATAACAGTAACAACAATATCATGAAGCAGAAGAAGTACAAAAACAATAGCAACAACAACAGCGTCGAGAAGACAACCGACCAAAAACAACTTATGGCCTACCAATATTATTCCACACAACTTCAATAACCACAAAACGTGGTTAGTTTTCGGTAATAACCGAAATCTGCACTTGCCACAATATGGCGGCAACAGCACGAGCCGGAGAGCGAGCATAGAAGAACTAACACACGCAATGTAAAATGCATTAGTTGCAAGGCAAGTGAAGTGTGCAACGACGCTAACGGTACAATATGTGTGGCAAAAGGGTGCAAAAATCACACATGCAACGCTGTTTGGGGTAACCTAGGCAACTTGGGGCGGTGCGTAGGGGGTACTGCGTCACGCATGCAATATGAATAAATCGCCGACGAAGAAGAAGCATACTTTAAGGGGCAACACACAACATGCAACTTAAAATACCCGCAAATTGCATATGAGCGTGCCGACGGCGAATGAGCTGCAAGTGTAGGAGGCAAGTACGTTATTTGTTAATCGGTTAATGCCAAGCAGGACTTCAACTATGGGCGAGGTTGCAAATAATTCAAAACAATTTGCTGGTTAACCAAAGTAGATGTAGCGTGGCAGACAGGTGGCTGGTGGCAAGTAGAAGAAGCAAGGAGTAGAAAAAATTGACTTTAGGCATTTTAGTGCGTGATTTGGAACACAAAAGCACATAAAAATTAAAATTAAGCACATGTATGGTGTGGCGGTATGTGTTCAAAACAAAAAAAAACAAATAGCAACAACAAAAATATTATTATCATGTGAACACGCCAGGGAGCAACCTCGTTAATATTAGAAAACTGGCTGACCAAAGAGCAAATTTATTTATTTGCATGCGTGCTAATACAAAAGCACACACACACATATATATATATGTATATGTGCAACTATCGCACATACACAGAGAGCACTTGAAGGCGCTTGTATGCCTGCGTAATAATATTTGCATATACTTTGCAGTGTATGAAGCAACTTGCAACATGCAGGCGGCAGAACGTTTTAGCAGACACAACACACACACACACATACACACAGTGAAGAAGCGAGCGCCAGTTGTTTTGCAGCCGCTTGCTCTGTATTTGTGTTGCATTTGCGGCAAGGGTTAAAATACCGTTACACTCAGCTGGCAAAAACTCCCCAACGAGCAGCTGAGTTGAGCGCCATAGTGTGCTGGTCAGAGAGCGCTACAAAATAATACACTCACATGCCAGCGCTGTGGCAAACGTGAGAGCGCACATGCTCTCTGCCCACCAAACACAAGTGAATTAGTGAGAGTGGTCGCGTTTTAATTAAGAACGGATGCGGATGTCGATCGTGGTGGCAGCGCGTACACGCACACACACTTATAAAATGTTTGCTTGCAAGCAGGCGTCACTCAGTGGCACAACGCTGCTTTGCAGACGCGCGCCGCTTCGCTGCTTTGGAGCAATTTCGGTTGCGCTTGAGTTTGTGTTTGTTGCTTTTGGGGGTTCGGCAAGCATCCACCAGCGGTGAGTGTGTGTGTGTGTGTGTGCGTACAGACAATATTTGCGCTCTCATTCGTGCGCTTAGCTATGTGCGTGGCAGGTGTGTGTTGCCAGCAAGCGTATGTGTGCGCGTGCCTCTATGCCTCTATGCATGCGCTTGCATATGTGTGCCACATTGGCGCTATCACTGTGCAGGCGGCAGCGCCAGTGGCAGCAGGCCAGCAACTTAACATCGCCATATGCGCCAGCAATGGCAACTTCAACGGCAAACCGTAACCGACAAGTGAAATAAAATCAACACAAATTCGCCACACATCATCATTGACGCAACCGAAAATAAAAAAAAAAAACATTGCACACACGCACACCGACGCGGACGCATAACAAACAAATTACGCGTGTAGCGAAACGCATACAAACGCAAAGTTGCATTGCGGCGCATAGTTTTCGTGTATGCTTATTGTTGTTTTTGTACAATTCTAATAGTATTTTTTCGCTGTCATCATGAATTTCGGCTTGTTGCTCCGCACAACGCGCACCGCATTTCGGTTATGATTTCTTGGCCACCAACGCGGCCGCTATGTGATTGTGGCAGCTATTAACGTAACCTCAAAAATCAAATGAAATTCGGTTTCGAGTGATAAATAGTCTAATGAGTAGTGATATGATGTAGTGGCCAGTGAGTGTTGTGTCTGCAAGATTTTTGCGAAAAGTGAATTTAAACAAGAAAATCACAATAAAATCACTTGTGAATACCAGCGCGCTGTTTGAAAATTCAGAAAAGAAAATTCAAAAAATTATTTAATTTTTTTTTTTTGCAAAAAATATTTCGAAAATAATCGGTTTTTCTAACGCCACAAATTGCTCTCCTCAAACGTTGCACATTTATTGTTGTCGCCTCTGACCAACACATTGCGGCAGCGCTTGTCGACCACAGTTCAGTTGAGATTTCTGCGTGTTTTCAATAGCGTCGGCGAAATCTGTGGAGTTCGAGGCAAAATTTAAGGCAGGATTTTCCTAAGTGAAACTTTCGTGACAAGTGTTGTGTGAATATATATTATATGCGTATCTGAAAAGAAGTGAGTTAATATTTTTGAACAAATAACTAGCCAAGGTGAAAAAAAAATTAATACTTAGAAATCAGTTGTAGTGCGCAACCGAAAGGTAACTATTTGCTGCATTTCTTACCATAGCATGCAAGTGCAGTTTCGAAAGCCAAACTGTAATTATTGGAACCCTTGTTTAGAATATTTTACTTTTTTAAATGATTAATTTATTGTGTTATTTTCGTAAGTTATTTTGTGAAAATCAAAGCATATTATTTGCTTAATTCTATTTTTTATGTTTTTAACTAAAATTTTCAAAATGTCAGAAACGTTTTTCAACAGCTGATTGATTTTGTGTAGAGCTTTTTCAGATCATAAATTTACTAAGAGACTTCTTATTGCCTTCCACACACTAGTAGAAAAAAAATAGTACCAATTCTCTGATTGTGAATCAATCAGCCATCAGGTTTAAGAAGAATCATGTACGGTACGAAATTTTTATTACTTAAGCAACATATGTATAAACACCAAATCGGTACACTTATGCCAAAAACTATATCAATTCCCCAAGCATTTAAATAGGTTTAAGGAGTCCTTTCTGCAGAAAAATCAAGTGATTTAGTGTTGCGTTTAGTTCCACGGCTCATAAACGACTCGCTTTCTGGAGAACATTATGCATAATGTACAGGTTGGTTGAAAAGTTTCTGCGCTCGAAATGAAAAAATACTGGTTTTGGTATATTTCTTTATTCAATATAAACTCCCTTAAGTTCCATACACTTATTCCAGTGATCCTCCAATAACTTTATGACATCACTATAATGCGGTGCTAATTTTCCAAACAGCTTTTTCACTAACACTATTATGAACTTGCTCAATGATTTTTGGTGTGGTTGCGGTTTTGGGTTCGGTTTCGACCACGTTTAAATTCTGCAGCCCAAAATTCAACGGCGCGTTTTGAAGGTGAGGACTTCTTATACACTTCTAACAATTGTTCATAACTTTCCTTTGCTTTTAAACCTTCCGAAACAAAGAATCTAACTTCAAATGGCTTGTGAAGAAAGAATTAATTGACTGAATTATTCGCACGACAGATGTACCAACTAGCGAAAGAAAATTGTAGCTAGTAGTGCTATTTCTTTGTGATCGCAGTCACTTACATACTTATCTATATTTGTACTAAAGAGCTCAAGCCGCCTAATTACTTTTATATAATATGAAATAATACATAACGAAATTGAATACTTCAAATTATCGGCGATAAATATTTGACTATCAAGATGTGTTCAAATGTAATTTGTGAAGAAAACAGAAAAATATATATTATCTTTATCAAACACATTGAGCCATATACAAGTATAAAGTGGCATAAGGTCTAGTAAAAATTAAATCCACTACTTTTGCATTAAATTAAAGGTTTTATTTAGGATAGTAAGAATGATCCGATTTAAGTCATCGTTTCTTTTTTGATAGCTGATTGCCATTTAGAAGGTAATTGGATAATGTCACTTTTATAGAAACCCTTGTCGCTATTGGCAAACACTGGGACAATCTTCTCTTCTTACTTCAGGGCTGCAGCTCATAGTATAAGATTCTCAACGAATGTCACCAACAAGCAAAACGTTTCTGACCGTCCATCCCGACTTGACCATTGTTTACTACGACTCACCAATATTCGCTTAACGTTGTCGTAAGTGACTCACTGTTCATCACCAGTAACCATCCGCTTTAAAATTGCATCAATTTTGTTATGATTTAACAGTGATTCGCATAAAAAAAATTCGGTTCCTGAGGTATTTTTTGTTAACTCGTGTGGCACCCATACATCGACCTTCTTTTTATAACCAGCCTTATTTAAATACAACGGTTTTTTGTGCAACCTTTAACTGCTAAGCAATCGAAACAGCGCCTACATGACGCCCATTCCGTGGTAACTTTGTGCGATGCCAATTCAAAAATCTTGCCAAAAAATTATTGCGAAAAAAGTTTGTCTATCGATACGTGATTAAATGTGAGTAGTAAAAACAACCGATACAATTTCGATAGAGATATACAAAGTGATTTTCAAAAAACCACAGCACTTTATATAAATCAACAAACCAAATATATATTAAATTACTATATCAAAAATTGTTATAAATATAAATCAATTAACCGACCTTATCGATTATCGATATTTCTATCTATTATATACTCTCAATACATCAGAATAGTTAAATTTAATTATAGCCAGACTAACTAATAAATCAGCTCAAATATCAGACACTGGGTGGGCACCGTTCGCTCCTAGAATAATTTTCATAAATTATTTCACTGACAATTGTTATTTCTGGCTAGCTCTTGTACCGAAGGGGGAGATCTCGTTATTCAAGCTGACGTTATATACAAAAATTTAAAAAAGTTGTTAGTATGTATATTGTTAGAAATATATATTTAGCTTGCAAACATCATATGGCAAATATTTGAAAAATATAATTTACGACTGATTTAATATGAAAAATAAAAATTAAACAGCGTTTCAATCTTTTCAAAAAAGTAGAAATAGCTTTAACATTCTATGTGTTTCATATCAAAAGTTATTAAATAACTAACTTCTTAAAACACTGAATTTCGACCTTTTGGAATAAATTAAAATGACAGCTATTTAAAAAAAAGCTTAGTAAATGAACTAATATCAGAAATATGTAATGGTTTGTGAATTTTTTCCTAAAAAATCAGATAAATTGTAATTGCCAGCAATCGGCGCAAATTTGTTTAGGCTTACTAACCCACTTTGCCTAAAAATATTATAAAATAATGAAAAACGATATCTTCGGTAGCTATAATACTTCACACTTATACTAACTTCACAAATAAAAAAGTTTTCCATATAAGAACTTAATTGCGAGAACAGTTTGTGTGGTGCGATCTGAATAATTTGTTTGGAGATTGTAGCGCTAATCTCTGCTGAAATTCGAAAAGATATCTTGTTGAATAAAATATTTTCCCATGCAAAGTTTTGCTTTGAAACAGTCAGTTTGTATGGCAGCTATATCCGAAAATGGTCCGATATAGGTGTCGGACAAATGAGCAGCTTCTTGGGTAGAAAAGAGCATATGCAAAATTTCAGATCGATATCTCAAAAGCTGAAGGACTAATTTGTATATAGAGGCAAACGGACAAGGCTAAATCGTCTTAGCTCGTCACGCTGATCATTTATATAATATATAAATATATTTTATTATATACTATAGGGTCTCACACGTTTCCTACAAGGTTTTACAAACATCGTAACAAACTTAATATAGTGTATATCAGGGTATAAAACTTCAACCAGCATGCTTTCAAAATAAAATTTTTTTTATATGTTTCGAAGTTTTTTTTACAACAATTCTCAGCAGGCATATTTGGTAGAAAGAATATTATTAAACTGATGTATTTTAAAAAAGATATTTAGGAATTATGTGAATCACAGTTTTTAGTCGCTTTTAAATAGACAGAAAACAACGCTGTTCTGGATATCTGTGGAATAGCTCATTTGCCAAAACTGTCGCAAAATTTCTAACTTCGTTTTTGAAGCCTACAAAAGTCTATCATTACTTTTCTTTTGGTTTTTAATTTATCCACTCAACAAGTATACTGTGAGTGAGTGATTTACTGAACAAGTGGAACACTCAATACGCACTTTTCATTATCTACCGATTTGTTTGAAATATTTACCAATATTTTCTGGGACATGTTGCGATAGCGCATTAATATTGCAGCTATTGAAAATAATGAACATTGGAACTTATACATATATACATATACTTACTCACATACATAAGGTTAAATTGAGAAATCTTGAAATTTCTGATATGAAGTAGAAATTTATAAATCTGCGATTTATTAACGAACTTAAGACACACTCACACATGCATTGAATTCAATCACAAGATACGCGCAAAAAAATGCTTGCCATTTATCTTCATCCATCAATCAACTGCCAGCTGTTGCTACAAAACTCCGCAACTCCACAGCTGAATGACAAAAATTATATGATTTGCTCCCCATAGCCGAGTAATGGGTAATAAAACTATTTTAAAATCACTTGTTTACATCAATAATGCAAATTATAAACAGAAATTACACAAATGCATTTTTTATTGGTTTGCCACACAGCGCGTCACGCGGCGGCACGATCAGCGCTGGGCAGCGGCATGCCTCACAGGCAACATTTTATGAGCGCAACGCAGACGCTCGTGCCCCAGCGCAGCTAGCAGTGAGTGAGCTGTAATGATGAATGTTGTTTGTGTTTTGATAAACCGAAGTGCATATTTGAAGACATTTAATTACCGTAAACAAAGAAATCAAATAAATTTAAGCACAACGGCGCACACACATACAAAGATGTAAGTGTGTGTTTGGGTTTGTGCCTAGTACCTTGATGTAGCGGCTGCTGTCGGCGGCTGAGATGATTAGACAATGTTGCATATTGCAATATTAATGTATTAATAATGTGCGTATATGTGTATGTGCGTATGTGCATATATGTGTATGTGCATTTGTAAATATGTTTTCGATTTCTTTAAACAAAATTTTGTCGTAAAATCCAAATTCGCTCGTTCAAAGGATGCGACATCATTGCCAGCGAGCAAATACGCGAGGGTGGTCCGCAGGCGATCCATAGCTGTCTAGCGATGACCGCGTTGCCATACGCATACAGCCACACAAACATGTTCATATATACTTGTATGTATATAGAGCATGTGGCATATTATTTATTTATATCTTGCACGCATATACCATATATTTCTGGATGGTTGAATATCAGAGCGCGATTGGTGAAATGTTTGTGGGTGGAGCCGAGCGATTTTGCGTGCCTTTTCTGCACTTTTTTGTCTTGTTGTTAATTTTCCAAAACCCAAAATGTTAGAATAAGCCCAATGACGGAGAAAAAAATATGGCTATGGAGACTGTGTGAGCCTTCGAATTCTCACATTATCTGTTACATCTGTGAAAAATCACGCCCATCTCACTCGGCTGGATTATTTATTACAATAATCTACTACTATTATTTAGAATTTAAAACTTTTCACCACAAATTCGACTCCATAAGCGACCTTTATACGAAAGTGAGTTTCGTATATCTTTCGTAGAACCATTTGCTCAAAAACGGCCACATCTAATCATTTTTACAATATTATTTAATATTATTTAATAATATTCAAAATATGAATTTTTTCCATCGACTGTGTGTGTTTCTTGATAACACGAAACACTTTGTCTAGTATTTGGTCTTCCTAGCATTTTTATAGCATGGCAGAACAAGTGCTAGTTTTGGAACAA